GGGGGGGAAGGGTAACACATTTCCACGAAGAAAGTGCACAGTGGGTTGTACAATAATGTCTGCTGGGATGTCTTTCTGACAAGCAGGGCTGAAGCCCGCTCCTGAATGATCAAAATTGTGTTGATTGGGGTGTAAATACTAGATCTTTAAAAAAAAAGACTTAAAAAACCTGATTAAACTGGCTTGGATCATGCGTTGTAAGATCTGGTTTGAATTTGAATGATATCGACAGGTTGATAAAATGTACTAGGCTCATGGAGGAAAAGTTTGCAGGAGAGACGAGAAAACTTTCATTCTGTAACAATTGTAGATCAACCCATGTTTTGTAGTTTTTCTCACTTCTTTTTCAACATTTATGATAAGGATAAGATATTTCTTGAGCAAATAAAACCAATACCACAGATTAAGAATTTTGAATTTTGATAAATTTAGGTTAACTGCTTTGTGTAAGATTATGCCATAAGGCGTTTTGAAAAGTGATGTGTGTCAGAGTGTCACACTGGCCATACCATATGTTGGCATATTGTCTGTAAACCTCTTTCACGGACATTGCATTGGCTTCCTGTTGAGAAAAGAATTGTGTACTCGTTGGCCACCCTATGTCACAAATGTTTGAATGATAATGCATTTGAATATCAAGGCCCCAAGATCTGGAATGCTTTGCCAAGTACTTTAACTCATTCGCTACGTATTATTTTCGGCTTGTGGACGAATTTTTTTTCGGAAGGGCGAATGAGATGATGACTAGTGGGCAGTTAAAAGGTCTTTGGGGCCACAAATTCAAATAAATATCAACATTTTATATACCAATATTTCCAGTATGGTTTGTAGAATACATCTGTAATATTTATTTATGTATTTTTCAACCATGGTTCCTGTAAGAGACGATTATGCAACACAATTTTGATTGGATGCAGATAAAATTTGAAAATAAAAGATTAGTAATCTTTGGTGAAACTCAAAAAATATGTTTGCACCTAGTCAAATGAAACATCAAAATAACCATAAATGAATATAGAACTGGAAAATATTGAAAAGTTTGCAGTTATTTACCTACGTTCCATAATGTTTGTACATTTTGAACATAACATCCGATATTGAAAAATTTTTTTTTTTTTATAATCTTGAAAACGATCACAAACAGAAAAAAACCCACTCGCATCTTATATGGAATTATTCAGAATTGCATTTGGAATAAACCTATACATGTCTTGAGTGTCACTTTTTGTGTACTTACTTTACTTTTTTCTTCTGCTTGTACCCTGGGGTGTCGCGGGGAGACACATGTGTCTGTCTGCATCAAGTCGTGTGGCCTGTAGGAGGGACATCCCATGTGTAATTTCAGCAAAAAAGTAGTGATTTTGGGGAGAAAAAAATATTTTGACAATTTAGATCTAGACCAGATCTAGCACTCAAAAATATTGATTTCTCAATAACAGTGCATTGGCAATATGAGTCCAGTCATATCAATATTATAAAAAAGAGTCCTACATTTCTTTAGTGGGCAAAATAATGATAGATTTTGTTGTGTAAAATTACTAAGACTGGTGTCCGGGCTATAATTTTGGCATCGCGATAAAACAGAGTCGAATAAAATACGAAATCCCGTTTCAAAACTGAATCTAAATTTCCGATTTTCAGTGGAAATGCTTGACGCGGAAGTCAACATTATATTATGACCTTTACATTAACATGGATATGTGGATTGGAATAGAATCCAAGCTAAAATTGAAGATTGGTTCTCTAGCCGCCGGTGGCGTAGTGAATGAGTTAAGAGTGATGAAATCTTTTAATTCATTCAAATGTCAGCTGAAGTCATTTCTCTTTTTAAAGTAATAAGATGAATATTTGGAGTAATTTTCTTTTAGTCAGAGCACAACGTTTTATGTTACTGTTGTACGTTGTACTGTATTGTAAAGCGCTCAGAGCCTGTGTACTTTAATCGGGGTTGAGGACTACATAAATGTCATTTATTATTATTGTTATATGTTGTGATAAAGTGTGTGTCCTTCGTGTCTCTGCCAGGCCTTTCCGAGTCTACAACACAGAGATTGAGGCGCCCGAGTGGGGCCGCGTCACGCAGCTCAGAAAGGGGGTGGTCTACCATCAGGTGAGTCAGGAAGGGGGTGGTCAACCATCAGGTGAGTCAGGAAGGGGGTGGTCAACCATCAGGTGAGTCAGGAAGGGGGTGGTCTACCATCAGGTGAGTCTCTCTCTGAGGAAGGGGGTGGTCTACCATCAGTCAGCTCAGAAAGGGGGTGGTCTACCATCAGGTTAGTCTCTCTCCGTGCTGGTAGGTGGTCGGTGGGTGCTCTGCTGGGGTTTGACTGTTCTTTCATGTTAAACATCTTTCATCATCCATATTCGCCGTAATTGTGTTGTAGGTGCTGTAAAACTCTTATAAAACTAAAACTGGATTTGTTGAGGTGTGGTAGATGTTTGTTATGACTGTGAACAACGGAGCGATGCTGTACACCATCTGAACTGATGCGTTGTGTAGTGAGAGTCGTACTGATCCAACTCATTATTTGTGTCACTCACGACGTGGTGGAACCAGACGCTCCTCAGTTTTTGTACATGTGGAGTCTCTGGTGTCATCTTAGCACTATGTCCCCACGGGACGCCAATCGGCTCCGGTGTGATATAGCATGTACCGCATCTGTGTCCTGGTCCGTGGGTGAAAAGTGTTAAAGCTTGTTCAGTTGTCTTCTTTCAATGAAGAAATTACCCATCTACATTAGATAGTAGTTGAGATATTTGCCATCGAAGGAGGTGGGGTTTGCATGGCTTCAGAGGTAAATTTAGCATGAAAATGGCTGCCAAAGTTTGGTGGCTTCTATAGCTTGAGAGTCTTTGGAAACTGCAATGTATTTTTTGTGCCTTTATTCAACGTTTTCCTGTAAAATCCTCACAGTTTGAGGAGCGTCTGATTTCACCACGATGACTCACGCTTTCTTCCCCACCTGACAGGGCAATCTCCACGAACTACAGAAGATGACGGGATGGTACGGGCCGAAGGTGTTGTACTTTGGGGACCACGTATACAGTGACCTCATTGTGAGTATGTGGGTGGTTGGTGGATGGGTGTTTGGTGCTGGGTGGGTGGTGGGTGGTATGGGCTGAAGGTGTTGTACTTTGGGGACCACGTATACAGTGATCTTATTTTGAGTATGTGGGTAATTGGTGGGTGGGTGATGGATGGTTTGTGAGTGGTTGGTAGGTGGGTGGTGGGTGGTACGGGCCGAAGGTGTTGTACTTTGGGGACCACGTATACAGTGACCTCATTGTGAGTATGTGGGTGGTTGGTGGATGGGTGTTTGGTGCTGGGTGGGTGGTGGGTGGTATGGGCTGAAGGTGTTGTACTTTGGGGACCACGTATACAGTGATCTTATTTTGAGTATGTGGGTGATTGGTGGGTGGGTGGTGGATAGTTTGTGGGTGGTTGGTGGGTGGGTGGTGGATGGTTTGTGGGTGGTTGGTGGGTGGGTGGTGGGTGGTATGGGCCTAAGGTGTTGTACTTTGGGGACCACGTGTACAGTGATCTCATTGTGAGTATGTGGGCTGATTTATCAATGTCATGCTCATACTGTGCTGGAACAACATAGGGGGAACTGCTGCTTTTTCTTTCCTCACCCTTACTATCATCATTTTCTTCTCTACTTCTTTTGTATGTTTGTCACTCTCTTGTGACCCGCTATTTCCAGGGTGACTTGATAGTCGAAGCAGACTTTGTGCTGTTGAAGCTAGAGAGGTGAGCAGAGTAAGCCTGATTCCCTGTAAGGACTTCTCTGTTGACATCTACCCCTTGGCGCTCATATGACCTTATGCAGTTCCGAGCGCCGTAAAACCTTACGAAAACTTAAGTCAAAATCGCATGTTTTGTTTTGTCCCAGGACCCTTCCTTACGGTTTGGCTGGAGGACGGGAGCCATCATCCCAGAGCTGGAGGTGAGGTGTTGTCGCTTGTCTGCAGTTTCTCAATCTGTGATGTCTGTTCACATGTTGCAGAGAACTATTTTGTCAAGATTTCAATTCTAAATGTTGAACAAAGAAAAACAGTAGTTCCATAGTGTAGATGCAATTTTTTAAAACCTGAAAGTTTTTTCTCTCTCCTGAACAATTTTACCTTCTGGGCTGAGAACATTTGAACAGTTTGTGGACGACGTGTATGTGTAAATAATGTAAATTTGTCGACAGTGTGTGGGTAGTGTGTGTAAATAATGTAAATTTGTCGACAATGTATGTGTAATGTGTGTAAATAATGTAAATTTGTCGACAATGTGTGTAAATAATGTAAATTTGTCGACAATGTGTATGTAGTGTGTGTAATGTAAATTTGTCGACAATGTGTGTAAATAATGTAAATTTGTTGACAATGTGTGTAAATAATGTAAATTTGTCGACAGTGTGTGTAAATAATGTAAATTTGTTGACTATATGTGTAAATCTGCAGTTTCCAATGACGTTCAAACTTTGGAATTCACCAAACTTTGGCCGCCATTTTTCTGACTAATTTTACCTCAACTACCAATTGACCCCCACCTCCTTCAATCACAAACGTCTCAACTTCTATCAAAGATAGATGGGGATTTTTGTTCCTCAAAAGTTAGACAAATGCACAAACTTTAAAATGTTATAACAGTAACTTTATTTATGCCCGGAAACTGACGCGTGCCAGATTCCGCTGTGTTGTGACACAATTTGTGAGGCGTGCTGACAAAATGAGTTACTTCTCGCAATCCACAAATGGAGATATTGGCCAAAAATCGACACACGGGTCAAATTTGTAGATTTTCTGTTTATGCCATTTTCTTTAACTATAATATGCCTTTCTCTGTTTCATACTAATAAATTGTAAAAACTTCACTTTTAAGCGTGATGTATCTATTTCCATAGGACTTGAATCCGAGAAGTAACTCATTTTGTCAGCCCACTTCACAATTATGTTTTTGTAAGCTGAGTGTGTATCAAGATAAAAACAAATGTATCCAGTTAGGTGGCTTGACTTGATTTGTTAAAAATTCTATTTAATACATTGTTTTTCTTCCATTCCTCCTCCCCCACCCCTATGTGGCACAGACGGAGGTGTGCAAACAGAACTCTCCGGTGTACAAGTCATCGGTGCGCTGGCTCATAGCTCTGCAACACCTCATTGATGAGATGCAGGTATGTCCACTGACTCATTGATGAGATACAGGTATGTCCACTGACTCATTGATGAGATACAGGTATGTCCACTGACTCATTGATAAGATGCAGGTATGTCCACTGACTCTTTGATGAGATACAGGTATGTCCACTGACTCATTGATGAGATACAGGTATGTCCACTGACTCATTGATGAGATACAGGTATGTCCACTGGCTCATTGATGAGATACAGGTATGTACACTGACTCATTGATGAGATACAGGTATATCCACTGACTCATTGATGAGATACAGGTATGTCCACTGACTCATTGATGAGATGCAGGTATGTCCACTGACTCATTGATGAGATACAGGTATGTCCACTGACTCATACAACACCTCATTGATGAGATGCAGGTATGTACACTGACTCATTGATGAGATACAGGTATGTCCACTGACTCATTGATGAGATACAGGTATGTCCACTGGCTCATTGATGAGATACAGGTATGTCCACTGGCTCATTGATGAGATACAAGTATGTCCACTGACTCATTGATGAGATACAGGTATGTCCACTGACTCATTGATGAGATACAGGTATGTCCACTGACTCATACAACACCTCATTGATGAGATGCAGGTATGTACACTGACTCATTGATGAGATACAGGTATGTCCACTGACTCATTGATGAGATACAGGTATGTCCACTGGCTCATTGATGAGATACAGGTATGTCCACTGACTCATTGATGAGATACAGGTATGTCCACTGACTCATTGATGAGATATAGGTATGTCCACTGACTCATTGATGAGATACAGGTATGTCCACCGATGTATGTAGATAAAGAGACCCACCCACGTCTGGTAGGCCTCCGATAACTCTTTTGCTCTTCTTCAACACCTGAGAGTGACCTAACTCGCCCGAAACCGCCCGCTTGCTTTGGATTTCAGGGGTAAACTTCACACCCAGACCCTTACGGTGTAATGTGTTATTTTAAATCACGACTAATGAACCTGTTTTGGGAATTCTTCACCCAATGAAAGAACTCCCTGTTACAAAGTAAATTGAATGTCGTAGACATTGTGAAGGTTGTCGCTCAATATGTAGCCTACTCTCTGTGTCTGTCAAAATGTAGCCTACTCTGTGTGTACGTCAATATGTTGCCTACTCTCTGTGTCTGTCAAAATGTAGCCTACTCTGTGTGTACGTCAATATGTAGCCTACTCTCTGTGTCTGTCAATATGTAGCCTACTCTCTGCTTTCCTGTACTGCTCCTCACGGACTCGCTGATGTTAACCTTTAGCGTCCTATACCGCTGCTATATGCTGCCGCCCTAGAATCCTGTACCGCTGAAGACCGCTGCCCTGAATTGACTCCAGTTTTCACGAAAGTGCTGTCAAAAATTCGTGGTGCAACTTATCCTCAAATATCTCTTTAACGGGTGAATCAATGTCATTCATACTTGGCATAGCAGTGTGTATCAATTTGTCTTAACTAAGTCATATTTTTCTAGAACAATTGGGGCTAGATTAAAAAATGTTTCTTCATAAATTTATATAAAATACTTGAAATCTCTGTCACGCGTAAAATGAGATTGTTTACAGCACTTCTCACACACATTTTGATTATGCATATAGCTTACATTACAGCTCATCAAAGACAATTTTTACTTGCAAAACTTGTTACAAGAAATTATTGTTAAAGTGAACCCATTTTTGCACAAATGGCTCTCAAGACATGCGTTCAATAAGCATAATGTCCCGATTAGAAAAACCTGACAGACTTGCTATTAAAAGCAATATTGCCCCAGCTGTAAACATTTAAAAATCTGTAGATACCACCCACTTGGATTTTTAATTAGTATTTATTTAAAAAATTTCTACTATACAGCTTGCAGGTGTTTACGAAAATGTTGATCTGTTAAGACAAACTGATACAAATCTGTGTGCAAAAATTGGAGAACCTATGTTCAATTGGTTGAGGAGATATTTGAAAATAAGTCGCACCACGAATTTTTGACCGCACTCTACTTTGTGCTGCCTGTGTCAAGGGAAACAATTGTGTTAAAGTTTGCTTGCGCTGTAGAAAGTTTGGATAACTGAATGGAGAGAGCTCGTGGCTTGGAAGAAGCGAGATGAGGGATTTATCTGACGGTGAGTTGCCTGATCCTTCATGGCGAAATCTGTTCTGAGTTATTTCACATTCCTGACAGTGGTGTTGAAGACAGTGAGTCAGACATGTCAATTGAGGAGGATTTTGATGTGGAACAGTTGATGGGAAGTCACGATTCAGATGATGATTGTGAAAAGAACACTGGTGCAAGGTCTAGTTCTGAGATCTCACAGATATCTAAGGTCTGTCTGAAATATTAGATCTAGGTTAGATCTAGACTCAGAGCCTAGATCTATTGAATATTTTCTGCAGAATAGAACATCTTGAGAAAGGTTTAGCCACCCCTGACTGCGCTCAGTGTAAGAAGCAAAGATATAACACAAAGTCCGGCAAACCAGTGTGAACAACCACCGACTGCCCAGCTTGCAACAAGGGACTCTGTAAAGACTGTATGGAGGCATACCACAATCATGTGACAATTGATTCTTTTTGGAGGCATACCACAATCATGTGACAATTAATTCTGTTTGGAGGTGTACCACAATCATGTGACAATCCATTCTGTTTGGAGGCATGCCACAATCGTGTGACGATCGATTTTGTTTGGAGGTGTACCACAATCATGTGACAATTGATTCTGTTTGGAGGTGTACCACAATCATGTGACGATGGATTCTGTTTGGAGGTGTACCACAATCATGTGACGATCGATTCTGTTTGGAGCTGTACCACAATCATGTGACGATCGATTCTGCTGATCAGCCATAAACAACCTGAGTACATTTCATTATTAGGTCAACAGTGCTCAGTCTCAAGGTCACCTTGACCTACTTTTTGACTCACTGTTGCATGCAGGGGTAGCCAGTACATTAATCAACCTTGTACGAAAATTTGAAAGAAATTTGTGTATTAAAGTTATTTAGAAAACGACACCATGATTCATTTTTAACAGTCTGTTGAAAAAAAGTCAGGATTCTAGAGAGTAATAATTGGGGAAAACTTAAGACACTGAAGGTTAAAGTGCCCCCCCCCCCTCCCGAGGGGTGCTACTGACTTGTGATTTATCATTGTTATGCTCATACTGTGCTGGAACAACATAGGGGGAACTGCTGCTTTTTTTTTCCTCATCCTTACTATCGTCATTTTTCCTCTACTTCATTTGTATTTTTGTCACTCTGTTGTGACCCGCTATTTCCGGGATGCCTTGATAGTCGAAGCAGACTTTGTGCTGTTGAGGCTAAAGAGGTGAGCAGAGTAAGCCTGATTCCCCGTTTGGACTTCTCTGTTGACATCCACCCCTTGGCGGTCATATGACCTTATGCAGTTGCGAGCGCCGTAAAATCTTACTAACACAAAAACTTGTTCTTCCGCAGCACCAGAACAGCGAGGAGAGCAAGGATATGATCAAGGCCTGGCTGGCAGAGAGAAGTGAGCTCAGGTGAGTCGCGGTTGTTGTGGTGGTGAGTTGTGGTGGTGGTGGTGGTGAACGGTGGTGAGTTGTGATGGTGGTGAGGTGGTGGTGAACGGTGGTGAGTTGTGGTTGTGGGGTGTTGGTGAACGGTAGAGACAGGCGAGAAGCGCTTTTTCCTTCCCGAGCAAGAAGACCGAGAAGCTGACCTACTTCTCGCCGAGACCGGTCCCGAGAACGAGAAATACTTCCCATCTCGTGACCAATTTCTCTTCTCGCCCCACAGTTCGAACCACTCGTTCAGCAAGAAAGCCGGCCGTGGCCGAGATTTCTCTTCTCGCCCCACAGAACGAGCAACTCGTTTAGCGGGAAGGCTGATCGTGGCGGGGATCTAAACTTAGAAACTAGGCTTGCCCTGTTGCACAGGCGCAGGCGGTGAAGGAAGGTAGGGAGACCTAGGCCTAGGCCCTGATCAACTCCCCACTCGCCTCGTCTCGCCACCCTCTCCCCTCCCTTTCAGTTTCACACACAGGACGGCATGGTGATGGGTGGCACTGTCTGCGTTGTCATTTCTCGCCTCTCACTCTCTCACTCTCGTTACTGTTACTCGTTATGTCAAGCCAACGAACAGTATCACGTCTCGTACCGAGCAGTAGTTTAGTGCCCGGGAAGCGACGGGAAGGGCGTTTCCCACGAGATACGAGTACTCGGCTCGTCTCGTGCCCGCCCCTAGTGAACAGTGGTGAGTTGGGGTGGTGGTGAACTAAGGTGAGTCGTGGTTTTGGTGGCTGTAGGATCAGGAGTAATCAGTTGGACATTGATGTAGACACACTGAGTCCAAGGCCACAAAAAAGCAACGTCATGTTTACTAGTCGGCCATATGTTATTGACTGATCTCCAGAACTCTTCTACTTTGAAAGTTGGGTTAGATTATTTTATAGCAATGTGGTTTGCTCCTTCTTTCCCATCAAACATCTATAGTCTTTATCTCCCCTCCTTCTCTTTTGTGTTTATTACTCTCTTGTAACACCTCTAATCTTCGCCACTTATATCACCTTATTGTGTTGCAAGTGTCGTAAAACTCTTTCTAAAACAAACAATCTCATAACCTTATTTAATTTTTCTCTTTTTCTCTAATCTTTGATGTTTGTATTCTCTATTTTTAACCTTCTTTGATGTTTTGTCATCTCTATTGTTAACCTTCTCCAATGCCCCCCCCCCCCCCCCCTTCCCCAGAGTGTTCACAAAGTCGCTGTTCAACCCTCACTTTGGGAGCCTGTTCCGCACCTACCACAACCCGACTTACTTTTTCCGCCGCCTGGCGCGCTTCGCCGACATCTACACGTCCAATTTGACCAACTTGCTGCGCTACTCCACGGACTACACCTTCTACCCACACCGCATCCTGCTGCCACACGAGCCCAGCCTGTACACTGCGCGCGTTGCTGAGCGCACCAGCACACACGCTGAACGCACCAACACACACGCTGACAGAAGTAGTGCGAATAGTGAACTGCATTAGCTGAGGCTGACAGAAGTGTGAATGTAGGTGTGAAACATGAACTGCATTTGCTGAATTTGACAGAAGAAAAAGTGTGAACGTGAACTTGATGGAGCTTTTAAAAAAAACATGGGTGTGAAACATTCGCTGACGCTGATAGAAAACGTGTGAACGAGCGAGTGAAACTGCATTAGCTAGCGCTGATAGAAGAAGTGTGAACGTGATTTTGATGGAGCTTTCAAAACCTAAGTGCTGCCGTTATTGGCTTTCTAAACTCTGAAATAATAATATTTGTATGACATTTGTATAACAGTTGACCTTATACAGGGTAAGACAGCCAGATAGACAGGTAGAATGATAGATAATTATACCTGGCATTTATGTAGCTCTCAAGCTTACAGTTGGTGTGACAAGAAGATAGAATGACTTTGAATAATTAGATGTATGACATTCATATTTATAGCGCTCAACCCCGATGAAAGAACACGGTTTCTGAGGGTTTGACAAATGCACAGCAACACATAAACACTGCATTGTGTTCTCGCTACAAATATAATATATATATTTTATATATCTCTCATGAATGTGAGAAGAGAAATGTCTGTAGCTGAAGTTTGAATAAAAGAAAAGATTTGATGACCCTTGAATGACCTGACAGGGTATTTCAGAGATCTGCAACAGACTCTAGTCTTTGTGAGAAGTTGTCAGTAGTTGTAAGAAGAGTGTTGTGAAGACTGTGTGGGTCCATGAGTCAGAAATTCGTTGGTGTTGATCAATACAAAAATGCAAGTGACGCATAAATGATATCGATAAGTATTGCCTGGATGCGGTGCGGGCAAAAAATGACTCAGAAGTTTTATGCATGTCATACAGTTATAGCTGAGAGGTGAAAGATTTGAATACCTCAGAACTGTTGTCTTCAACTTGAGAAGTGTGGGCATGTTTTCAGAACTGTACGGTTACTCTAAGATATCGAATAAGTGCCCCCTCCCCCCTCCCCCTACCCCCCTCTTATTAATTTAAATTTTTTTTGCCCGCCCCCTGCTTCTTATTCCTTACCCCCTTTTTATTATTTTCCAGCTTGCCACGACCAATGATCATGTGAAACATATCTAGAATCTAAATATCTGAATGAAACTTCTTTTTTTGTAAATGGCAAATTACCCTCAGTATTAGTACCGGTACCGGGTTGGCTACCTCAATATTCTGTGCATTTTAAAAACTTTTGTACATTGGTTTATATTTTTTAATGAAACTGGTTTGTTCCTAAATGGGAAAAGTTGTCACAGTAACTTACTAAAATCACTAAAATTTCATGATCTCTTGTTCTTTTATTCACTGAAGGAGAAATAAAACAGATTTGTTCCTACTAGTACAGGGGTATGAGGTTGAATATAACAATCCCCCCCCCCCCTTTTATTCCAACCCCCATGTTAATTAATTTTGAACCTCTTTCCACCCCCCTCCCCTCACGCTTGTATTCCTACCCCCCCCCCCCCTTTTATTCGATACCTTAGAGTAGATTCCAAAGAGTCATTGTCTACATGAATGATGTACATTTGTATTGTAGCTGTGGTTTGTGACAAGTGTAGAGTTCCTTGGGAAAGAAAAAATGTTGGAAGTGTGCTTGGAACATCAGTGGTTCACCTTTAGACATGTGTATACAGCGACATTGAAGGCTTTGGAAGGTGGGGGGGGGATGGAGAGATTTTTGTTGTGGTCACAGAGAGTTTGTGATGTAGCCTACTGCATTTGTGATACAACCTTGCTTGTAAATTCTGTATATCCTGAACTGTTGTGGGTGTGTCTGTGTGTCTGTGTGTGTGTCTGTGTGTGTGTGTGTGTGTGTGTGTGTGTGTGTGTGTGTGTGTGTGTGTGTGTACGTGCGTAATCTTGTAGTGTTGTGGTAATGTGTATCATCAGGTATTAGAATTATGTCTGTGTGTGTGTGTATATATGTGTGTGCTGTGTGTGTGTGTGTGTGTGTGTGTGTGTGTGTGTGTGTGTGTGTGTGTGTGTGTGTGTGTGTGTGTGTGTGTGAGCGCATGCGTTATCTTGTAGTGTTGTGGTCGTGTGTATCATCAGGTATTAGAATTGTGTGTGTGGCAGGCCCGGTTGTGAACACCCTCGGCTATTTTTATTATAGATATTATCACGTAAATCTCATATTGTGACTGTTATATATTATCTCGGAAATCTCATATTGTGACTGTTATATATATATATATATATATCCTCACGTAAGTAAGTCTCACTTTGGAGTGACCAGGGCATTAGGCAAAAGTTTTTTTCTACGTGCATACGTGTGTGTCAGCGACAGATCCCGTGACCTGCCCGTTATATTCATGTTGCTGCAGCCATGGCCAGGTTTAGTTTCTTTTCCTCGTTGAAATCCAACCATTGGTGGCAGATATAGCGCACAACGTTTGTACACTTTATTTCTGAAGAGTCTCCACAGGGTGTTCAGTTATTAATTTAGCACACCTGCAGGTGTGTCATTTGATGTTTGCATGTCATGTTTCTATGTCTGCTAAGAATGTGGTGTTGGTGGTCTAGTGGTTTGACCACCGGACTCATAATGATAAGTTTGTGGGTTCAAAGATCAGCTTGGCCCAACGTTGTGTCTTTGGGAAAGGACTTTACAGCAATGTTCCTCACTTCACCCGGGTGGGAAGGGGTAATCCCCCCCCCCCCCAGTCCTGATTCAGCCACTTGCAGAGTAAAAACTTAACCTGAACTTGTCTTTCCATAGACCTTATTCCTCCCATGCCCCCCCCAGGGCAGTGCTACTGAAGTGTCTTTAGGCCATTCCCAAAGGGGGGATATTAACATGTTCTTATGCACAGTAAAATTGAAAATGGTCTGATTTATAAATGTCATGCTCGTACAGTGCCGGAACAACATGGGGGGAACTGCTGCTTTTTCTTTCCTCATCCTTACTATTGTCATTTTCCTCTACTTCTTTTGTATGTTTGTCACACTCTTGTGACCCGCTATTTCCGGGGAGCCTTAAGAACCAAAGAAGACTTTGTGCTGTTGAGGCTAGAGAGGTGAGCAGAGTAAGCCTGATTCCCCGTATGGACTTCTCTGTTGACATCCACCCCTTGTGGGTGATTGATGGGTGTTCTGGTGTGGTTTGCTTCTTCTTTCCTATCAAGCATCTATTGTCCTTATCTCCCCTTCTTCTTTTTTATGTTTGTTACTCTCTTGTAACACCTAATCTTCTGGTGCTCATATAATCTTCTGGCGCTCATATGAAGTTATGCAGTTGCGAGCGCCGTAAAACCTTACTAAAACAAACAAACATACATGTTTACACATATACACATAATATAATGCCATGGTCGCACTCACGAACAGAGACACAGACACACACATTGTAGAATAATAAACAAACAATAATATTATTGTTAACAATACTAATGTTGTTAAAGCTAGGTACATACTCAGTATTCCGAAAGTATTCCCATGATATTCTCATAGCACATGCTTTACAAGCTAGTTATACTTTCCATCATCATCATTATTTTCATCTGTGTGGTCTATGTATGTGTGTGTGTGGGTATATATGTGTGTGTGTGTGTGTGTGTGTGTGTGTGTGTGTGTGTGTGTGTGTGTGTATGTGTGTGTGTGTGTGGCTGCTGTTCCTGTTTCAAGTTTCGTACTGGTTGTCTCTGACAATGCAGTTGTTTTGTTTTGGTTTGGTTTTTTTATTGCTTGGTCTTGCTGCTCCAGCTGAGAAAAAGAGACGGATACAATTATCGTCCCACTTATAGATATTCTATTCTTCTTATTCTTCTACCATGTATAAAGTCATTCTGTAGTCAGACCATCAATGTTTTCACAGATACTGAAACTTGTCTGTTGCGACACGATGGAATCAGGCGCTTGTAGTTTGTGGGCATATGGTGTTATTGGGATCATCTTAGAGTTTGTTCATTTGTCTCGCTAAAAAAATGTACCCCTTCTATCATGACTAGAAGTCGAGATAATTGCGATTGAAGGAGGTGGGGGGGCCGCCTGGTTTCAGAGGTAAACTTAGCGAGAAAATGTCCACCCAAAGTTTGGTGACTTCCAAGGAGTCCTTGGAAACTGCAAATTTACATATTTTGTGCCTTTGATCTACTTTTTTCAGTACAATCCACTGGTAAATGTGTTTAAAAGTGGACATAAAAAGATTTGTCTAGGTGTTGAGCCAAAAAAGAAAAAAACAAATGAAGAAAGTCCCAGAGGGTGGGTAAATGTCGGATTCTCCCATCCTGTAATTCTGACGAGCGGTTCATTTCAACGGATGCCACAACATTTGTGAGACGTGCTGACAAAATGAGTTGAAACTTCTCGCAATCCACAAAGGAGATATTGGCCAAAAATTGACACTAGGGTCAATTTTGTATATTTTCTATTGATGCCATATTCTTTAAGTATAGCCAACCTTTCTTATCTCTTACTTATAAACTGTAAAAATTTCACCTGTAAACGGGACACATCTATTTCCATGGGGCTCAAATCCAAGAAGTAACCCATTTTGTCAGCACGCTTCACTTTTCTGAATAGATAGTCATTCCGTAGTTGTACTTGTACCGTGAATGTTGTCACAGACAGCGGAATGTTGTCTGGAATGTTGTGGTTTATTTCACCAGTCTGTGGTGTGACACTGACCTTCAGACCAACATCTGTGGTGTGGAGGTTAGGTGTCTCGCTGTCGCACACATGAGATCCGGGTTTGATTCCTGGGTGGGGAGAACTTTTTTATTGAGCATCGTCTGTTTTTCTGCTGGGATGTTGTATCCTTCTTAGCCCGGGTCTGTCTGCTGGGATGTTGTATCCCTCTCAGCTCGGGTCTGTCTGCTGGGATGTTGTATCCCTCTCAGCCCGGGTTGGTCCTGACAGTGTCGGAAGCCTGTCTCCTCAATTGTTTAAATTGTGTCTTTGCGGGTGTAAAAACAGATCTGCATTTTAAGGAATGTATTTTATTGAGTACAATACCTCAGCCATCATGTACAGTGAAATCCCTGCTTGTTCTGTATATTTGAATGTGTTCTCATGACTTTCATGTGTGTTTATTATTAGTAGAGGCATTGGAAGAGCACATGGGAAGAACGACGGTAGTCACAAACTGGAAATTGTGATGGTGCCAGTTTTAAAAGCTTGTGGACTCATAACTTCATATTTGTTTGACTGGTGGTTTATTCTTAAGTGTTGTTGAATGGGAAATCTAACAGTAGTCCACCAACAGTTGAACAGAAGTACAGTTATGAGTCAACAAGCGTTGAAAATTGGTAGGCCTACTCTCTGATTTTCAGTTTGTGACTACCGTCATTTTTCCTCTGTAGTCTTCAATTGATTTTATGGTATTGATATATACATGTGTAGATCTAGCCAGTCTGAAACAACTTGCGCCCTTGGAATGTCAGAGAATCCTTACTCCATGACACTTACGGTAGATTAGACTGGGGTTCAAAGTTCCATACTCTCACAGCAAACTTGTTTGTATTTTGACACGTGTCAGTAGTGTGCCAGTAATGTGTAGTGTGTGACTTCATCCTGGCAAAAAGTGGAGCTAGATCTCTGTCCTTCTAATAGGCGGCGAATTGCTCTATGTGTTATCTCGACAGTGTGGGTAGTTGGT